TCAGTAAATCAGAGGCCTTTGCGGGTTAGAGAACATGCTGTACTCTGTTTTGAGAGGTGAACTGCAGTCTTCTAGCAGCACATTTCACCCGGTTTCTGGCTCCATAGCAAGTGCTGACGCAGTTTGAGTGTGCTGCAGAGACTGTCTGCATGTGTCTGGTTGACCCTCCCTCAAACTGTAATAGATGCAGCAGGACTGCATCCTGGTGGCTGTCTGCAGGAACTGCAGTTCTTTTTTTCCTACATGTGTGAGGACCAGCTGTTACTGGTAACACCACTGCAGTAATCATGTAGGTTTATAAATGAAAATATTATCATGTGATAAATGACTAGATGAAAGCACTAACTTGACTTTTAACCCTTTTGCGTTCAGCTGCATAGTTTGGCCCAGCCTCAAGTACCCTGCAGTCCCAGCAGTCCCAGTGGTCCCGGTGTGTCACGGCAGCAGCAGCAGCAGCTTCAGCTACACCAGCAGCAGCTGCAGTTAAAGCAGCAGCTTCAGCAGCTTCAGCAACAGCACCACCTGCAGCTGCAGTTCCAACAGCTCGCCCAGTTGGCACAGGGACAACCTGTTGTCAGTGGGGTCACCACCCCATCCACATCGCAGACCCAGAGAGACGGCAAGTTGCTGGAAGTCATCGAGCGTAAGCGCTGCCTGTGCAAAGAAATCAAGGCACACAGGCGTCCTGACAAAAGCTTGTGCAAGCAGGACAGCATGCCCATCCTCCCTAGCTGGAGACGGACACCTGAACCTCGTAAAACTGGCACACCTCCCTGCCAGAGGCCACAGGCCGTTGTGTGGGACACGGCTATCTGACGTGGAAGTCAGGCCAGCGAGTACAGCACTAGAAGAGATGAGCTGAAGATGGCAGAATTATGAATGAGAGTAAAAATGGATATAGAAACTAGAAAATTCTTTAAATGGCTTTGGTGATGTAATTACCACCAGGGAATGGGAGACTATGGACCAAGAAGAAAACCCTTGATAGCATTTTTATTGTGCGATAAACTGATCTGTGAACAGTAACTGATGAAGGGTACTGGAGACTCTGAACCCATCTGGGGAAAAAACAAACAAAAAAAATGCTGATTAAGAGGTGAAGAATAAGAAGTATTACAATCAAACTACATGAATTTCTTACAAATTGGATTTGTATCTGCTCTGTATTATGTAGTACACTATGTAAATGTGTTCTAATTGCCAATGTTTTTTGCCACAAAACACCAGTATTATTGCTACAAAAGGAAGACGCCAACTAACTAATAATTAGCGGGTTGTTTTCTGAAGTCGGTGTTGCCAAATTTCTTCCTGACTACTTGATACATAAATTGTGTATTTTCGCCAACAAGCAGGTGTCCAACACGCTTAAAAACTACTCTGTGGATGAGAAAAGGCAAGACTCATAGATAAGTTGCTGAAGTGTTTCTTGAAATTGTGAATGTATATGAGATGTCTTGGTATCAATAGATTGTCATTGTGGATGCAAATAATCATCACCGAGGAGTAAAAGCTACCTACTGTATCTGTTTGCATATTTGTAATGTAAATCTATTTACTTTCTCAACGTTTCTGCAATTTTATAGCAATATCCTCCCGACGCTGGAGCAACATAATTAAAACTTGTGTCAACTAGCCTACAATACATATCTAAGACTTGAAGAAGTCATATTTACTGTGTCATTCTCTGCATGTCACGATAGACATACAGTATTGTAAAAAAACAACAACAAAAACAAACAAAAAAATCCCAACTAAAATAAAAAAAATTAGTGTAGAGATGATCATGGCAAACTTTTACATACAGCAAATCTTCACTATGATAACGTGTGGTTGTATAAAAAGCTGAATATGTTGTTTGGGGGGAGTGGGGGTGGGGGGGGTCCTCATTAGGAAAAAAATTAATAAATAAATAGGTGACAGATGGCACATGCTGTGCAGTCCAGCCAAATATAGATACAGATCAATGGTACAAAAAAAATTTCATCGCTCATGCTTATCCACAGTTGCACATTAGTGATTGTTCCACCACACCGAAAAACAGGCACTCAACACCCATCAACACAGACTGTGCAATATGGTGCAACTGATAAGACTGTGAGTATTGATCACCTCAAACAGAATGCTGGAACAATCTGCACAAAACATTGTATACGCTTAGGACAAGTTAAACCCTAATGTACTGTAAATAGATATGTACAACTCTATTGAAAATGTAGCAATTATTTCCATTTTCATACTTGTAATCAATACATATTATGTAGCATATATTGTATAAACATAACTTTGTTCACTTGTTTTTTCTAAAAGAATTAAGTACTTTATCTGCTGCAGCCAGTCCATGCATTACTTATAGTTCTACTAATAAACAGTAAGCCCTCTAAAGAAAGGCACAGCCCAACAGTTGTTTATTTCAATTTATGCAAGACTCCCTTTAAGCTGTGTTATTGATTTATTTATGCCCTTTTTCTACATCCATTTTTATTTGTGTACAGATTTCCACAGCCCGTTGTCTTGACATTTTTGAATACTTGCTGCTATCTTGAACTACTGGTGTTGTTCACTCAACTATACAGTGTTACCATGAGAAACATTATTAATATAGTGCTTATTGTGAGATATTTGTTTTGGGGTTTATTTTTATTTATTATTTTGGTTTTCTTTCTTTCTTTTGTTTTTCCTTTCTGAAAGCCACGTGAAATGAAGTTCGTACCTTAAAGAGTGAGCCCGTCTGTAATAGTATTAAGGCGCTTGAATGTCTCTTGGTTGTTGTCGTTTTTAATGATAGTAAGCACCAAACTGTACAGTACAGTACACCCAGTGAAAAGAAGACCTATCTAAGTGTTTGAGAGTCACTACTTGGCCTTTTTTGTTTTTAGCTCCACCTGCTCGCGTTTGAGGATCAGAGTCCATTTTCAAGCAAACACAGGCCAGGTTGACGGAAATGGGCAAGTGCAATGCATGCAGAGATTCCTTACACTGAAATGCTCCAATGATTCTTACTATTGTGCCCAATTTTGATTGCTGATACCAAGTAATCACCTTACTATGATTCCTTTTCACGGACTGATATGGAACCCTCGGTATCATTTCCAGAATAGTTTACAGAAGCTGTTGGTTTTGTGTGTCTTCTAAAAACAGTGGCCATTATATGAGTGCCATACTATATTGATATGGTAAGATACGGTGTACCTTGGAAATCACTGTAGTGCTATATTTGCATTGATATTGTCATTGAAAATAAATTTTATATAATGAACTTTACACAACAAACACATGTTGTTTTCATGTTTTCACGCCACATTCTGTTGTGTCTTCGTGCATGTGATAATCCAGTCAGCTCTTTAAGATAACGCATACACGTAATAGCCATTTGATTCAGTAACCCTTGACGTGTCCTTTATCATTTGGATTTAATAGGGATTTCACATTTTAACCTCAGCTATGTGAAAATGAAAGCACACCCTCTTTCAGTTCTAAGGTGTATCAGGACATTTAAATAATCATCTGGTCCTTACAAAGTTCTACAAGTATGTAAAAAGTGTGGACATACTGAGTGTGTCCACACTGCACAGTGTTATTATTTCATTTTTAACAAAATTAAGCTAAAATGTCAATCCAAAGGGAGTCTGTGAAAAACTAAGTACTCCCTTACTGTTTTCATACTGATTATGAAGATAAGTAGCAGCCAGCTGCTGCTAATCGGATGCACTTCATTAACTGATCATGATCAAGTGTGAGCTCCTCTGTAAAAGCAGAGGTTTTGGTAGTTTGGAGCATTAAACCACAGGGCCTCTGGAATGATGTCCTTTGACAGAGGACATCATTCCAAAGTGGACATATAGGTTTGCACTTCACCGTGCTTAGCAAAACTAAACACAGCAAATCAGCACAAACACCTCATACCAACTGTCAAGCATGGCACTGAACAAGTAATGATTTGGGCAGCTACAGGACCCGGGCACCTTGCAGTTGTCGAGTTGACTCAACTCATCTTTATAACAAAGTATTCTAGAGTCAAATGTGAGGTCATCTATCTGACAGCTAAAGGTTGGCCCAAACTGGATCTCAGAACAAGACAATGGTCCTAATCACGGCAATGAATCTAAAGCAAACGAAAAGAACCAAAGTGTTGCAATGGCCCAAATCTAGACAAATCTAGACATCAGGATGACTAAAATGCTGTGGTGGTACTTTAAGAGAGCGCGCAAACCTCAATGAACTGAAGCAATGTAAAGAACAGCAGTCCAAAGGTGTCCACATGAATGTAAATAACTGATAAAAATCATACAGAAAACAGTTAATTCAAGTTATTGCTGCTAAAGGTGTTTATAATAAACCATAGAATTGTGAATTTTGCTTAGTTTTAAATGCAATACTTCTGCAATATTGCTTAATTTTTGTTAAATAATTAAAGACAATGCGTAATATGTATGTTGTTCAATCTGTGGTTCTATTTGGCTAATTTAAGAACCTCGTAAGCTCCAGATTCGAATAAGTTATACGGAAATATTTAGAACTGAAAGTGGGCGACTGTATATTTTTGATGTGTAAACGATGTTAATAATGTATATATAGGGTTTAATGTCATTTCTATGTTATCCTTTCAAAAAGCCTCATTCTCATTTACTGCTGTTTTTAAAAGAAAAAAAACTGAATAAATAAATTCTCCAAGGCTTTCCTGACATAACTTGATTCAAAAATAAATAAAAGCCTGAATGAGACATAAATTAGTCACCTCAAGCGGACAGTGAATTCACCAACAGAGACACTTTACGGTCCATGAGGGATTATTAAAATTATTCTGTTGATTTTTCTTTGGATACGTGACGTCAAGAACCACTTAGCCAATAAAGGGATGCCCTAAGCCACCAAGCGATTTGCTCTGAGGCTTGTCTCTCGTGCATCAGGAGTGAGGATCCCGAGCAGGTGATTGGTCAGGCGGGTGGAGTAGGCGGGAGCTGCTGTGGATCGCGGCATGCGGGAGGAGGGTTAAGGCCAGCGCTGGTGCGTGCGTGTTAGGATGTATGTGTGGAGAGCGGTGTGGCGCTTGTAGAGGGAGGCGGAGGGAGTGCTTTACCGCAGTATCACTACATTTCTGCACCACTCATCAAAACTCTGCGGCATGCAGACAAGAGCTGGGGGGGAGGGCAGTCACTAGGTCTGTTCTGAGTGTGAAACTGCTACCTCTTCTGTTGGCCTACCAGTCCTTCATATAATCTAGGCTACAGCAGTGCTTTTACTTTATTTATTTTCATGCGGGCTCGTTGAGTGTTTAAGTCGACTTCTTTAATGCCGGTCTTCTTCCTGTAGGAGCAGTGATACGGCAGGGCTCTCTCTCTCCTTCTCTCTCCATCCCTCTTGCTCTCTGCTGTCAGGGCAAAGTGCTTCAGCCCGGCGCTCAGTGTCATCAGGCCGCTTTTAGTTGAGCTTTGGAGCAGTTCGTTAGAAAATGGCAAAGGATGGAGAAAAAAGCGATTGGAAGGAGTTTCTATGGAACCCGAGGACGAGGGAGTTTCTGGGCAGAACGGCGAGCAGCTGGGGTAAGTGCTGTCCAGCTACGGCAATGCAGCAAACAGGGTCCCCCGGCTCTGTAACAGGTCTCTGGCACAGTGGTTTCCCCCCCTAAAGGTTCGCTAAGATGCTGTAAGAGAGAAATGAGCGTGTGTAACCATGACATGAATTTCGACCCTGCTTGAAGTTAGGCGGTAATTTCCTTCAGGCGATGAGATGGATGTCGCTGTCCACTACAGGTTGGTGCTGAAATCTGACTGCGGCACCGCTCCTGTGGAAGCCAGCTGAACCCCTCCACCCCCCCCACCCCCACCCCAACTCCTGTCTACTTTATTAATTTAATGTATTTTTTCTGCAATGCTTTCCCTGCGCATTGCGCCCAGCATAAGGGATGAGGCATTTGGTTTTATTTTACATTTGGATAAACCTGATTACAGCAGCATTGCTGAAAATAAAAAGGCTCCACTTTCTTGTAAAGTGCATGTAATCGATTCTTCTCTCCTGAAGAGTGATTTAGTTATAACTATGACTTTCATTCTGCTGCAGAGAAGACTTTTTCTAGGAAAGCGGCTTACTGAAGTTGTACAGAGATTTGTTTGCATGCCCGTGGCTTCATCAAGTGTGTGTGCAACATGATGTCATTTATTTCCAGGCTTTTCCCCTGAGATGCTGAGCGACGATCAGGTCAAATCCTCTTTTTAACACCGTAGTGTTGCCATATACTGACACATTTTCTGCTATACAAAGACCCTGCAACTAGTTCAAAGATTCATGAGATGACAGGGCGCATATGGCTCTGTTCTAATGACATTGGAGCATGTTTAATCTGGGTAAAGCCGAGGGCTAAATGCTATTTGTATCACCTCCAACTCGACCCCTCCCAGTGTGTGTAAATCAGTAAGGGATTTAATCCTAATCTAATGAGTTCATTGGCTGGAGAGGAAGGTATCAAATTCAGCGTGCTCTGGCAAAGTAAAACATTTTTAGGAACTTGGATTCATTTTCACATTTTCACTGAAGATCTGAGCTCAGAGACTTGAGTTTAGCACTCGAGGCTGAAACTGTGTTAAACGTAGTCTTTACTTTGAGTTTGAATTTTCTGATTATTTTTCATCAGTGCACATATATCATTCTTTCAGTGTGGGGCTGGGACTCATGGACTGTAGCTTCCTTAACTGGAATCCTCCCACAGTGTACAACTTAATCCAGTCCAATGTGCCCCAGGTGCTTTAAGGTCTGTTGGCCTTTTTAAGCTGCGCTCTCTGAGACTTAGTAATTAGGCTATTTCTGGAGTTAGCCACTACATGTAGGTCTGCTAAACTTGGCTTTTCAGAGTAGCACTTTCTCATTCTCCTAATGCTGTACATACTGTACCATTACTTCCAATGTGCTGGCAACACGGCCTAATCTACTCGTGATACAGTTTCTTACGGCTTGCACTGAAGAGGGGTTTAAATGCAGGTTTCCAGTCTCTTTAAGGCATTAATGTGTTTCTGCAGCACAATGCACATTCAAAGCATTAGATCAAAGACTTCTTTGAGGATGAGACGCAAAACACTTCCTTTTGTGTTCTGCTTTCTGTAAAGAGCTGTAATGATATGGAAATAACCTTGATAAAGGAGAGCAGTGCTGCAGGTTTGTTGTTACACATGCCACAAGCTGACACAGTGAAACATGGTCAGACAACTAGCTTGACTAATGAAGTGTTCTGGACCTCCCACTTCCAGAAACAAAGTCCACACTGCAACACAGGAAGAGAACCTCAAAGGGCCTCATGGTGACCAGAATCACGGTGCTCTTTGTTACTTTAACATTGTGTACGAGATAATTAGCAGTGTTTGCCGGCGAAAGAGCCACAGCTCAGAGCTATCCACGCTCTCGCCAGACCTTTTCATTTTTATTTCAGAGGTGCGTTTGATCAGCAAGTTGCAAAGCGATTAAACAGCATGTCCTCCCAATTAATTGTGAGAGAAAAAAGGGACACCTCCTGCCATTATTACCGAAGAAAGAACAGGGTAGTGGACCATCCGAGCCTGTCCTTTTGTTCTTTTCTTTCAATCGCCGTCTGCATACAAAACCAGTGCGAAACAGAGACGCCTCACTGTCCATCATCAGCATGGACTGAGAGGGCAGGCTGTAAACCCAACACCCTGTTTGCCAGGGGGGGGAAGCCACCTTGCCTGCACGCTTGATCCCGTCTGGATGTGCGCACATTCATTCTCCCCCTGGGTGGTGTCATATTTGTGGTTAGCACAAAAATCCCCCCACCCCCTTGACGACAGAGACAAACACTTTGCCACTTTTGTTGGATCGTAGCGTCTCTCTTGCTGCGTTGCCTCCAGCATAGTTCATGGTCTGTGTATAATTAATAACTGAGCTTGTGTCTTTTCTGTGGTGTAGATGGGATGCTCATTGTCATCCCACTAAGGGATTCGTTTTTATTAGATTCTAAAACTTCAGGTACAGTCAGGCAAAAAATGCACACACAAGCTGTGCACACAAGCTGTAAATCATCAAGATACCCCTCTGCGATTGCCACCCCCCCCTCCATCTCCCCTTGACATTTTGCCAGTCTGGCAGCGCAGGGAGACAAATGCGATGCTGAGCCTGCTGACTGAGGGAGTGAGCGCCACGCTGGGGGCCATCCAGCAGAGGTGCAGGGTCAAGGCACTCAGCTGCCTCCCAACAATGGCCTCAGGTGTCGATGCTTGAAATGTGGGATGCGTTACATACATGTTCTGTATGTGGATAGGAAGCAAACAGCTGCTTCAAATGTATCTGATGGTTCCAAGTTAGAAAGATCGCCTCAGAAATGGTTTATGAATTTGTTGATCTCACAAAATAACAATGAAAAGATGCCAAGTTAGGATCTCCATCTGAAATCTCAGTATTTTCGTCACAACAATGACAAAGTAAAGCATTAAAAACAAACTCTTCTTTATATCAAATGTAATTATCATTATCAATTTGCTCGTACACAGTTATTAATAAACCTAGTCCCCTGACTCTGTGGCTCAGTCTCCGGGGCATCCTTATTTTCTCTCTCCCGGTGTTGCCTTCTGTCATTCTTCCTTCCTTTCTGTGGACAGGACAGTTCTATAATGAAGTTGGTCGTCAGCCACGAACTCCTGCGTGGTTAGGTTCACTTTGTGTCATACTTATTTTTCAGTCCATGCAAAAACACAAAGAATTTAAGGATTAATGTGCAGCTTGTGTTTTGAGTTTATGTTGATAAAATAAAATAAAAAACCTGCAGTGGGCAGAAACATGGAAGGAAAAGCTCTGCCTGATCTGTACTAAGCACCTTCCACTGTACAGCCACTGGCATGTGTGCTAAAATGAGTCAGTATTGAGTTATGGCTTCACATATGATTCAAACCCCGCTCGCCCTGGTGGATGTCTTCTGCTTCACACATTGCACCACCGCTTCTTATATCCTACATGCACTTTGTGCTTTTTATGCTACCCTATAGTGCTTCCCTGTTATTCTTTTTAAAAGACCCATGATTGGACACAGTCTCCTATTGTGGTCTAGATGATCTAAAGCCTTAAAATAGAGCCCTGGGGAGATGCAGGACTCTAGTTCTCTCTCAGACCACTTGCATTAGTTGCATTACAGTGAAAATGTGTTGCCTCCAGTTATTTTAACTTTAAACGATGATATTTTAAGCATTGCATCTAAAGGATGATTTGTTTCATGTGAGTGAGAGAGAAACAGAGGCAGATGTTGCAGATGCAGTGAAGCAATTTAACGAGGATTAACTGAAATCCCGTAGACATGTTTGGTTAGAGAGTGACGTAATAGACATGAACTACTCATCAACTCAGATGTGAGATTATTTGTTCTCATTAAGGGTTTGTGTGCTGCAATTATAATGAAATGGACTTTGCTGACTTGCAGATGTTAGTCTGATGGACTTTATGCATAATTCATAGATGTGCTGTGGTGTACAGCAGACTAAATAATGTAATCGAAGCAAAAAAAAGGCTTAAAGGCTATTGGGGGTTTTTGCACAGTGTATCAAACATACATTTTCCATGCAATAAACACATAAACACAAATTATATTATCTTATATGTAGCCATTTATAGATGAAAATGTCTCAGTGATATCAATTTTGGCGCATATGATCCGATTATCTTTCTACAACATCAACTGACCAAATCTGATGATGAAGAAATAGTTTTGGTTTTTTTACACATTTGTCCAGTTGGGGAAGATGCTGTTTTGTAATATTTTAATATTCCATTTTTGTTACTATTGCTTATATTAATATGGCTCTATTTTCTCATTGTCTGCAGGCCTTATTTTTCTCTTCTATTTAATTTTCTACACCTGCCTCGCTGGCATGTTTGCTCTCACCATGTATGTCATGCTGCAGACCCTGGACGAACACAGACCAACCTGGCAAGACAGGCTCTCCACACCAGGTGCAGAAACTATAGATACAAGCTGCATGAACACAGATCATGGTCTGTGCACTGTGTCATGTACTCCCTGCTGTCTCTCTTGTCACTCTCAGGCTTGGTGATTAGACCTCGGGCAGATGACACCTTTGAAATAGTCTATACTAAAGAGGACACTGAGAGCTGGGACCTGTATGCCCAGACATTGGACAAATTCCTTCAACGTAAGTTTGGCTCTTGCCCTCTAAGACAGAATGTTATGACATACACAGATAATCTCTTTATAGTTAGCTGACAGGAGAGCGTCTTGCACTGGGATCTTAGTTGATTATTAAGACAATTTCACCCCACACACACTCTCCTATTTTCCCTGCAGCCTACAATGATTCCCTCCAAGCCCAGAAAAATCACGAGTGCGCCCCAGACAAGTACTTCATCCAGGAGGACAGCGGTGAGGTGAAGAACAACCCGAAACGATCCTGTCAGTTCAACCGCACAGTCCTCCAGAGCTGCTCTGGAATCGATGACCGTTACTATGGATACCGAGAAGGCCAGCCATGCATCATCATCAAGCTGAATCGGGTATGAAAGGAAAAGAGAGGGGAGTGAAAGGGACTGGTGTTGCTAGGAGACATGGAGTGACTGAGACAACCAAACTGGTTGGAAATGATAAAAAGAAAAAAGTCACTATCATAATTAAACTGATTGGTTTTTGCATTTATCATCATTCACTTATGTTATATCGCCTAAAAATGAACAAAAAACGGTTTTCTTTATTTTCTCATCAGGTGATTGGTTTGCTGCCAGGAAAGGATAACCAGGCTCCGTATGTCACCTGTGCTGCAAAGGTAATCCCTGTTTGTCTTTCACAATCAGAGGCTTGACACAACAGTTTTATTCATAGCTTTTGTGCCTCACGTCATCTGCAGTATTCCACCTGTCGTTTACCTCCATCTTCCTTTCTTAGCTATCATGAATTTCTTTTCATGCTGTCTTGTCAGTCAAGCCAGTTGTTTTTATCGCTGCCCTTTTCTTTTTTCCATTGTGTTCCATTAATTTGTTCACTCGCAGAAATACAGAGTTGGCAAAGATCAATGGGTAAGAAAAAGTCCAGGACCCATGTTTGGTACAGTTTAGATCAGCGGTGTCAAACAAAAAGCCTTTGGGCAAGAAGAGGTCTGCCAAAGGGCCCAGTTTCACTCACTGGGTGGTTTTACAAAGTGTGTAAAAATTGTGAGAGTATGATTAGTATTTTTGCACTTTTTACTATATTTAGGATTATATCTTGAGACATATCTGTCTTCATATGACTTAGTCTGCTATATCACACTGACATAAAGTAGTTTAGTAATTTGTACGATTTATGATGCCCGTGTTTGTAATAACAAAGTTGCTGAATGTAGAAAAAAATATTGTTGAAATTGGCTTTAAAAAATGTTATTTACATAGGATTCTACTTAACAGGTTATCTTAGTCACTATAAAATTTGACGCTGCGTTACCTTTCTCAGAGTTTGACTCCCCTGGTTTAGATTATATTTCTATATGATATATCTGTAGCAGTCGATCACATTGTTGTTTTGTATTTGCATTTTAGAACTAGATGGTAGATATGTAGGAGAAAGACATTTAGAGAAAAGTAGACAAATAAAGCTCACCTCCACCTTATAAAGTGGAGATTATAGCTATATAACTGACGAAGCCGTTTCACCCCCTCAGAAAGATGACGCTGATAAAATTGGAGAGTTGATTTACTTTCCTCCAAATGGCACAATCAACCCTATGTACTTCCCTTACTACGGCAAGAAAGCGCAGGTAAGAATGTGGTTTAAATGAAAATATAATGTGCTGTAAACATGATAGCAGTAACTGTTAATAATTAATGTGTGTTTGTTTACAATTGCGCACACAGACCACAGAGTTAAACCTACTGGGTCCGCAGGTTTACGACGTCTTTGTTGACTGTTTTTGCAGGTGAACTACTCTCAGCCCTTGGTTGCAGTCAAGTTCCTCAACATTACTCACAATGAAGACGTGAACATTGAGTGCAAGATCAACGCCGAAAACATTCCCGTTGGAGGTGAAAGGGACAAGTTTGCTGGGCGAGTGTCTTTCAAGCTGAGGATCAACAGTAAAAACTAGGTTTACCCCCCTCCTCCAACCCCACCCTAACCCCCACCCCCACCAGCCTCATCCCCCAAAACATACTGTCTTCATTCTCAGCAACACTGCACATGCACAGAAAACAAAAATCACAGTATTCACACCCTTTTTAGGATTTGTTTACACCCCCAACCCTTTCCAACCTCACCCCCACCCTCCACCCCACACCTCTCCACAGATTTTTGTGGGAAATTCTTTGTCAGGTCGCGTGGCGAGACGAGGCGAGAACCAAAAGGGTGCTAATCCTGTCATTATTTCTGTGAGCATTCACACACAGGTTATTTTCCATCAGTTAGTTTGAGGTGATGTCTATTTATACTGCATGACAAACTAGGGGGCTATAAAGGACGTGGACGTGTGTTTGCAGACTTTGCAAGGATCAGCAACTTTACCACTGTACTGCTGCTCCCCACCCCCCGCCAACCCGCTGCCTCCTCATAGAGTATCCCTCTAGATATGAAGATCCACAAATTACAATACCGAGCGTGTATATCTACAGTATTTATACAGCATAATAATAGTAATCTTACATCAGTGCGTCTATTTTGTTGCACTTTAAAAGAATATTCCAACAAACAGGATTGATGCAGAGATGATGCCATTTGCATGTGCGTATTGTCTTAGTATGCTACAAAGGCAGGAGGCTCCTGTGTCCCACCTCTCGGCTGCTTACATCTGTAATAAGTTCAGCGACTGACCACCAGGAGGGACCACACCGTAATCTTTAAACCTGTGTTTTTTTTTAAAAAATGTGATACAGTAAGATGACCCCCCGCCCCAAAAAAAGAAGAACATGAGGTACACATTACAGGTAAAGAGGAGTAAAGAGTGCAGGAGATCGTGTGTTTTAGTTCATACTGTAGGTCGGGAAGTTGCATGCAATGTGCAATATTCATTAAGTGGCATGCATTATGAATGCCCGTATCCATTCATCAGATGACTTCTATTAAATAGTAATCATTTTGGATCATTTGATATTCACTCTCATTGTGAATGAGTAGCTTGTGAAACAGATGATATATATATATTTATATATGGGGGGGGTCATATAACACCTGAATTCTCAGTCGGTTACGGGGTAAACTGAACTCTAGCTTTGTGGCTCCTGGACTGCAGTCCAATAAGATACCTGAATATCATGTGAAAATGACAAAATAGACCTCTGTTCTGCACGAGCACACAAACACACACAGACAAAATTCAATATTGCATTTTATTCCCAAAGTCAAACCTAGAATTTCTTGCGTTTCAGTTTTTAATATTAATATTCAATCGATGTTTAGAGGAGCTGTATTATTGAGTGTATTGCATCTATTTCACTTGTATCAGAAATAGATGCCATTGTAAAAAAAATGGTATTGTTTTGCACAGAAAGTGCGCTTTTATTCTTTTCTTTTTTTGTGATGCTGACTTGAGTTTATTAATGCATTTCCAGTTTTGAAGGAAGTTGTTTGTTTTTTGTGTTTTGTTTTTTTGGGTAGTTTTCTTTTTTCTCATTCATTCTCATTTTCTTCACCTAAAGGATGCATCTGAGATACGAAAATGTACACTTTACCTCTTATTTTAAAAGACAGTCGTTACTTTATTATTTTGAATGTTAGTTCAGTTTGGATTTGTAGGGCTGTAGCAAATTAAAAACAACATGAAGATTTACTCCATTGACCACAGAAGAAAGATATTTTTTTGTTAATTTGGTTCGATGTTGTTGTGTTCCCCGGTGTTGTATGAATCATACTGAAGGAAAACCCATACTGATAACAAGACAATCAGTTTCAGCCTCTAAAAAAGTCAGACATGTTCCTGAGTTTAGTGCTTGAGCTATTTACTAAGCATCCCTTAAATTATTGGCTTGAGAAATCTGTGGAGTCACACTTTTAAACTCAGGCACGTTACCTCTGCACAGCTCCAAAACTGTTAGATCAGTTAGACTGTGATCCTGCCATGTCACTGCAGCAAATATAGAACACGAGCATCTGTTCGCTCACATTAAGGTCTGGCTGATTATTAATTTGTTTTGGAAGGCTGTGTGTTTCTCTGTATGCCTGCAAATATCTTGCAGTGGTTTAAATAAGACTGCATCATCTGACAGAGAATGAAGGCAAGCCCATTAGATCCAAAGTGATTATCTGATCTATATTTGAAAGGTCATTTATAATGGATGATCAGCTCTAACAGTAATTTTTCATGAGTCCGCCACCCAGTTTGCATGCATTTCTCCTCTTGCACCGCTGCAACACTTACTTAATTTCAATGTAATCTCTTAATCTGGTCAGCTAATCCAGAGCAGGCACGCTGAACTTCTTTACCCCGCTCTGTTGCTCCTCCTCCTCGTGTCAGGCGGCCGGTTCAAGGTTTATTCTTTTCTCATTTTGCTCACCACATTCACATTACACTTTGTTTAGTTTGAATCACATCACAACAAATAAAAGTGTTCCGCTTCACTGGCTAATCGGACACTCTTGTTTCACTCACGCATGTGAAGATGATTTCTTCAACCAAAGATCTACATGACAGTTAAAATTGAATTTCCACTTGTCTGACACATCCTCAGCAGTAGATCTGAGTAAGGATCCCATGCAGAGATACTGTAGGATCCAACTGGAGGGCTAAATACCCTGTGATAATAAAAAGGCCTCCTCTTATATAATAATAATACGCACAAAGGAACATGGTTCACCACGACATAACAGTGCCTCCTGGTGGACAGACAGTGTTGCTCCCCCAGTGTCACAGAATGTTATTTCCTGTTATCTCCATTTATCTGCTTTTTTTCCAGTGATAATTTGGAAATGTCTTTGAAAAGCAATATATTTATTTCTTGTGTGGCTATATGAATATTTACAGGAAAGGTTGTAACACAATCAGAGCGACGTGCATCAGAAACAGTAAGGAACAAAAGGGAAAGACTGCATATATGCCAGTGTGTGTTATTATGATGATGGAACCATTAAAAAAAAGAATTGTTTTGTTTATAAAAGAGTATTTTGTTGTAAAGATGAGAGAATGCATTAGCCTGGAATATATCATGTGATAGGACGTACTAGATCGATTTTCAGAATAGTATTCAAGGAAACTTGAATAGATATGGATTTGAGTTTTTTTTTTTCTTTGAATGTTTTTGTCATTTGAGTTTGTTTTACTGTTTTAAAACAAACCTATAATCAAAGCTTTCTGTCAGAGTTCTGACAACACTTTATCCACTGCAAAGGTTGGAGAAAGCCAACTGTTGGCTTTTAAGTAGAGATAACTACATGAATAAGTAAAAAACAATCTCATTGCCCCTTAATGTTAAACTGTATTACTGCTTAAGACTGGTATTATAAGCCAACAAGAAGGGAATTCAGTGAATTTGTTCAAACACTCTCTCCCTAACAGATGATAAATATTCTGGATCTTTGTTTTCTGCTCTAACTGTATGTATATTTTTGCTTATGTTTACTGCAAACCAAGATAGAGAAATGAATAAATGTTATTTAAGGGAACTCAAACTTCCTTTCGTGCCTGCTTCTCAGTCATCTTTCTGCTACTCTTTGCCAGTTTCATGGGCGGAGGGATTGATGTATTACTCATGATCAGGCATGTTCTAGAAACTAGGTGGAATAGCAGTGACCAACGTGTAGTTAAATATAGCATCACTTTCACAGTTGACAATAAAAGAAGCCAGCTAGTGTTAAAAGTAGTTTTCGGATGAATGTAACTAATGAAACTAATATAATCTCATTCTCCATAATCCTCACCGGTAACCATATATTACTGTTTAAAACAGTAATATATGGTATATATAATATATGATGATTATATACAAAATAAACTTGATTTTCACAAAATGATTATGCCATCCATGTCACAGGTCACTTTGACTGTAGATAGGAGAAAAATGTGGATGCTTTATAAGTTGTACTTTTCCCCCCCTGTGGCAGTTGCTTTAAATAGTCTGCCACCAAGTGGTTGACAGGATTAAAGGTGAAGTGTACTTCCGCTTCCTGACCTTTACCCGGCTCCTGTCTCCTCTGCACTCCGTGACTTTAACCCCGTTTTCTCCACCGTTGCCCACTCAGAAAGAAAGCGTTTCATAAAAATGGAGCCAGCGTTGGAGGTACTGCTGGGTTTAAAACAGTCTAATCAACACCAGCAGTGCAGATGAGTCATACACATGCTATTCTCTCTGTTACACGTGTACTCTGTAATATAATATGGAATATTCTTTGATATTATAACAGTAATACCAAACGTATTCGGACAGGAAAAGCCTTTGCATTTGGATTCAGACAAAAAGTGCAGAGTGTGTATAGGTAAGAGTGCCACATAGACCAGATTATATTCACTGTGATGTGACTTCTAGCAGGGCACTGGAACCTCTGCTGGTTGGTTGGTGCACAACATAAAGAACATTTTATTGCCAGTTAAATGTTTTTCCATTGCTGGATCACACGCTGAGTAGAAATAATCAAATGAATTGTCTTCTGTTTTTTTAAATTAATCATTAACATGATACAAAAAAAATGACAAAGATGTAAAAATAACAAAGCCATACTCTACACACAGCATCACTGTGAAGCAGTAACTTTCTAATCCATTTGGTCGCGTGGAGATTTCAGACCAACACGATAGTTACGAGGTAATTTACCAGAGGAATAACACTGTAAAAGAGCAGTTCTTTTTAATATAGCAATTACCAATTGTCAATTTTAGTTACACATGCGCTATTTAAAAAAATCTATTATACTTTTGTAAATAATGCACAGTCTAAACCATAATCATCAGCAACAAAGTTTGAGATAGTACCCCATAAAATCTGATGAGAAACATCAAAGTAAAGCTTAATGTCACATGTTGATTGTTGACTCAGCACTTTGGTCCGTAGAAGAAGAAAAAAAGCTGAGTTCTGGGTGAAAAACAAGTCAATTCTTGCATCGTAGAAAAGCTTGCATCTTATTTGTATCTAAATCCAATATATGACGCCAAGGATACAGAGCAGAAGCACAACCCAAAGACGGGTAAAACAGCAGCAGTGCCCCTGTGTCCAGTCTGATTATCTCATTTTTTATGGCAAGTCCAGCATGCCATGTTCCTCCAGAGCTTTCTGTGTCCGGTCATAAACCTCTCCGATGGCCCGAGACACCCTGTGCAGCACTTTGCTCATCTCCTCCTGGTTCTGCACGCACACCAGCCTGAAAAAGAAACCCCGCTCTGGCAGGGCAATGAAGGCCAGCTCGGCGGCCTTGCGGACGTACCATGTATGGTGTTGAGCGAGGGTGCTCTTGTAGGCCTCACGACACAGGTCAGAGGGACTCCTGAGCCGTCCCTCCACTGGTGTCTCAGCCAGCTTCTCCAGGAAGAGCTTCAGCCAAAGCAGAGCGCGATGCAGGCGCAGTAGAGTCCGGCATCCAGAGTCTGTCTGGTGGTGGAAACTCACCAGGCCTTGATTCAGCTCCACCAAGATCATAGAGCGCACAGAGTGATAAGCACTGGTGTGCACCGACGCCTTATTCTTTGTCCCACCACCCTGTGAGTTTACAGAGTTTATGGAATGTAGATCCGGGCCTACCTCTGCTTCAGGGTTCCCGTCTGCCGTCAGGGCCAGCTGGCGAATTATAGAAGTCTTACTTTCTATCTCTTTAGATATCAGTCCCACCATTGGCCCCAGAGAGTCCATGAACCTAGAAGAGTAACACAGAACAGGATAAAGCAGCTTACAGATTTCAGATAATCAGCAAACAACAAATAACTTTTCTTCCTGATGGCCGTAAACAAATCTTTATCTGAAAATCCTACTTGACAAGCTCGTCCCAGCTGGACAGATATGGCTGCAGCAGCACGTCAGAGTTGTGAGTTGGGGCATCCAGCAGGTGGGAGAGCAGAAGTGACACCTGGAAGGTCTGACCGGGGCACAGCTCAAGCTGGCTCTCAGCTCCATCGCCCACACTGCTGTTGGACAGCTGGTGAAGCTAATGGTGGGGGGGATGGGCAGTGCATGAATGTGGGTGCAATCGGCAGGGGACAAAGGAAGAAAGAAAGCACGACATTTATTTTAAAAAAACAAAGAAATCCACTTCATAGTCTGCAAGCAATCTAATATCAGATTCAGGAGGTACTCTTACCTTATTTAACTGATTATAACCTTTTACACAAGAATCCCAGTGGTAATCCAACCCCCCCTCTGAAGTGGACCATTGAAAAGAGAAAAAAGACCAAGGGTTACAGTTAGTTTTGGTTCACAGAGCAATATTGATATTGTTATCATTTAATCTTTCAGATAGTCACACAGCTTTAGCTTGGTTTATCTTTGCGTGTCGACAAACCTGTGAACTAAATAACTGTCTCTTAATGGCTCATGCTATTTTCAGCTAGTGTTTGTCTGCAGTTTCATGGTGAGCTACTACAATATGGTCGAGCTTTCAGTGCTTTCTTTAAAAAAAAAAGAAGAAGAAGAAGCAAAGTTGTGAGAGTGAACTAAAAGGATAAACCAATGAGCTGAAACCCACTTCGCAGCTGTAAGAGGAGCTGCTGTTGCAGGTAGTGGTATTATGTAGGTTCATTAAACAATCCTTCTCACGCTGTCACTGTTTAAAATATTTTCTATTGTTATTGATATTTTGATTATAGCTGGCTGAAATGTAACATTCATGAAGTACCGTTATCTAACAGTTTTGTTATCTCATGGAAATGATTGTAAGAAGGTGTCCTTGTATCCTGTATTACGTCATATTGTATATCTCTGTATGTAAAGACCAACTTATCTACCTGCCTATCATCTTAACTGATGTGCAAGTTGCTAATGAAAGTTTGGCACTGTTCAGTTTATTTGCAACAAGACCCTTACAGACACATTGTTGCCAGTGACAGTGGCAACAGCTGTGTTGAGCATGCAGAGTGCTGCGGAGTGTTTGGTGTTTTTTAAGGGAGCTGTGAGGTTACTGCAAATTACAGAATCAGCAGCAGAAACATTCACAGGTTCATCCTCCAAACTGACCCATAAACATTCAGGTTATCGAGCTTCTGGTCAAAATACTGAAAACTAGCAAACAAGCAAATGAGTTCAGATTAAACACAGCACAGATTTACCTGCAACAGCAGAAATAACTCGACTATGAATTATTGTAAATGGTCTCCATCCTGACTATAAAAACGCAGATGTGACATTTCATGCTTTCAACTAAAAACCGGGGCCGATATTCTGAATTATAAATACAAACTAGACAAAGACAGATCACATGGACTGAGTTTGAACATTTTTTAGAAAGATCAGTAAGTGGCTCCTTAGCCCTTTAAAAGGTCACAGTGGAGCCACTTACTGATTTCCTTTGACAATGAATCACTTTTACTTCTTTTTAATGAGGCAAAACGCAGTGACATTTTTAAGGCTTACAGATTATTCTTGGAGGGTTACTTACATAACCCTTCAAGAATCTTTACCAGTAAAAGATTATTTGTGAAGTAGCTTATTTGAAAAATAAGGGTAACTATTTCATTACCATAAATAAATGTGTAATATTAAATGTATTTTGTACATCAAGGCTGCTTGGTATCATGTGACATTGTTGATCCGGAACAAACAACACACTGATTGTTTAGACTAAGTAGTACAGCATGAGAATCAAAGACACACACTCGCACCCACACAGAGAGAAACTCACGTAGCCACAGCGAGCCAAGGAACAGCAGCAGGATAAGGATAGCTGCAGCAGCCTTGCTCTTTACACCCATACTGAAGTCCAGTGTGGGGCCGTCCAGTCTGCCTCTTGTCCCTTTTTCTTTCCTTTATCTTTTAATTCCTCTGTTTCACATGAGTTCTGGTCCCCTGGCACTGGCTGTCACTGAAATTACTTTCTCCCAGACCACTGCCTCTGACCCCCCCCTCCCTCCTCTCCAATCCTTCATACTCCTCCCCAAAACCTCAAACAAAACCTCCTGTCCACCACTATGGCCCCTATTAATCTTTAACTCTATTCTTGCTCTATTTTGAAACTGCCCTTTTCCCTCGTCACCTCATCAAGCCCGAGGTTGCGGTTTCTATCCAGCTTTTTCTGCGACTTTGTTTAAAATCTGTGTGGCTTCCCGTGCTGCCTTTGTGATTTCAGAGCTGCCTGTCTCTCGCGTTGCTCAACCCCAGGGTCCAGAGATCAGCTGAGTGTGGCCAGTAGCTGATAAAGCAGAGCCAACACAGGGTGTCCTCCTGTAACCCCCCGCTATATGTGCACTATATTCCTGGTCAGTTTGAGGAAACACTTGCTCCCTTGCCTCTCCTCCCATGACCACCACTTTCCCTCCTCCCTCTTCTCTCCTTTCGCTCTCTCTATCACTAATTCATACACTCCATGACAGTATATCAATCATTAGGCAGTGTGTTAAAGTCACGATGACCAAGGGTTTGTATTTAATTTTGGTGGCTACACAGACAGACATGTTAATAAATAATAATCCAAACTTGCACTGGTCGAGATGCCAAAAGGAACAAAGATTTCCACACATGAAACTCTATTTGTAG